TAAAGCTATAGCATTAATAACTGTCATAAAATTTTGGAAAGGCGAGCAAATCGCTTCTTACGCCTTCAGGTCATCTTCAGCCACTGTGCTTCCGGTAACAAGCTTGCGCACATGTTTATTCGATTATGCTGCAACTTCGTATTCATCAGCAGAAAACTTTGTCAACAAATGCTTAATTTACTTATCTGGAAAGTACCGAGATAATATACAAACAATGACGAATATTAATTTATTTTTTATTTCCGGTCATAAAGCAAACCTACAGCTTACTGCCTACTCTGCATTGTCATTATTTTACTGATGTAGGTTGATTTGCACCTCCGAATTCCCATCTGAGCAGAGTCTTTAAATTTTATCATTCAGAGTTTTGATCCTCATCTATGAGAATGAATTTTTTCTAATTTATCACTTCGTAATCAAAGTGTGCAGTAGGCTAGGCATTGCTGAAAGTGTAATTGTGTGGAAGGAAGCGTGGAACGATACGCTGTAATTGTGAATTAGCTGTATATGTTGCCTTTGAAAAGATTACGTGTTCCTGACTGATAGCATCATTACGGAGAACAGCATCGTAGCATGAGTTACATTAAAATAGAAATAATTATATTCAAAATGTGGGATATCAACTTTTCAATTGTTACCTACTTTACTCGTGTTTTTCATGACATGGTGCCATTTTTTAAATCTGATTTGAATCTGATAACTATATACTGTGGTATTATTGATTTTGGTTTTAGACCCTGAATTGGCTGCTGCGCTGCAGTGCAGAGACGTGAAAGACCTGCCAAATTTCCAGCTTTTGGTGTCCAAAATAGCATTCCTCACCAACGGCCTTATACCTAGCGAAGTTTTGCCGATGCTTCGCGCAAATAACTGCCTGAACCAAACAGAGTGTGATGCGATCAGAGCCTGCTGTGGTAAGTCGAAATGTGTTTTAACGGGTGCTTTACTTAATTAGCGTAACATATGAGAGGTTAATAAGTTTTTAATTTCATAATTCCTAATTTTATTGGCGCAGTGTTTTGAACAACGATATGAAACTGCGGCGAACGAAAGTAGATTTCACCATTTCGAAGAATATGTACGAAACAGAGTAGAACAACGGACTCGCGTTAATGGTTAATGGGAAGAAAAGGAAGAGGACATGTTCAGTAAATTTATCGTAAATGTGTCGGATATGAACGATGAGCGGATATAATGAAAAGTGTTAGCTGATAGATACAGTAGATTGATGGTTTTAGATGCTGATATTAATGTGTAAATTGATCTGTCGAATCAGACAGTCTTGAGAATTGATAACATGGAAAGCGATGGTTATATTTAGCTGCATTTGTTTTGGGCGTCGCGCATCCCACGAAGTAAAACAAAGTATTTTATTGGCGAAAACATTAAATTCTTAAAATTTAAATTTGAACAGTTCGATCAGGAAATGTTCATAGATATTTTAGTCATTTGTTGTTTTGGTAGTGTTTCAGTTTTATTTAATTTAATTTTAAAATTCTGTTGCATTTTATTAAGTAGAAAGATACTGTGGTCTAAAATTTGTACTTGTAAGAAAAGTGGCATCCGATTTTGACTGGACTCGTCGCATTTTCAAATAAACGTTTTCTATTAATGTTAGGTATGTCGATCAGAATATACGTCAGGTGCGGTTGTTTTTTTCTCATTTTCATCAGTCCTGTGCTTTCTAAATTTTTCTTTTCCTTGTACAGTGAAAACTGATTTAGAATTCATTTCAACCTGTAGACTGTTGTGTGTGTCCTCTGCACACTGTGTAGTGCGATGGCGCGTACCATGATAGTACAGTGCCTAGGGGTCGGCTTTCATTCCAACGGAGGGTAATCTTTCTGTTAATCGCAGATCTGAGCAAAAAATTATCACACTGCGCTTCAAACCGGTGTTTCTCAGTCGATAAAATGCCATACTCAGAACCGAGAGGTCATGGATTCGAACTCCTGTCTGGCTACTCACCTTTCTTCCTTCTGAAGTTGATAAATGAGTTTCCCTCTGTAGAAAAAAACAGCGCACTATTCAGCTTGCCACACAGTTGCTGTCGACTTGCCATTAAAAATAAAAATTATGGGTAAAAATATGGAGATCAGTATTCCACCACTTGCTTCATGAAAATAAGGGCGTCAGAAATGACCCCGTGATGAAATTGTAAAGAATACCGTCATTCCAATGATTATAAACTTTCATCTTGATCACCTTCATCTACCATCGCCGCTTCTCCTTTCGGGTTGCGGAGACAGAGGAGTCAGACAGAGCTTCCAACGTTCCCGATACTGTGCCAGAGTCTGAGCTTCGGCAAAAGATAAATGGAGTCTCGAACAGACTCCTTCCATATGTTATAAACTTTCATTCCTCTTCTTTTCTGTCCAGTGTACTTAATTTATGGGGTTACTGGGACATGCTGATCTAATTATTAAATTAACTTTCGAGCTAAAGGTTCATCCCTAAAACGACTTAAGTTTTCACATAAAATGTATATTAAATTTTTCATTTGTATCATTTGCTGGTTTTTCTCATTCTTTTTTCTCTTCTCTGCCGTTCCTTCTGTTTCGTTCTGTCGTTTTACATGCACTCAAAAATGTCACAACGAAGGCGCTAATATCTCATATTATTATTATTTAGATCCCGTACAGGCCAGTAAAATGCTGTTAAGGTACCTGCCGTTGCACAACGATAATTGGTATTACGTGTTCATGGATTCGTTGGGGTCGACGGTGGAAAACAGAACATTAAGACTGCATATCGACACCGACTACCGACCTAAAAGTGTTTTGTTTCATTTCTTTGAGTATATTCGATTCTTAAATTCTGTTTTCCTTTTCATAGGAGAATGCGCTAAAACTTCTTCCAATGGAAAGCAAAGTAGGTACATATTTTGGCTTAAATTACGAATCTAGTATGCAGCTGATCTAGTTCATGATCTTCGCTGTTTTTATCGAATGTTTCTGCTTAGTTTTAAAGGTGTTATTGATGTCCTGAGTCTTTATTTGTTTAGAGTGAGCATCACGAGCCTTTTGTATTAGCTGAACGTCTGACTTTTTGTTCTCAACTTTTGGATAGTTGGACAGCTGTTATTGCATTGTAGCGTAAACAGTTGATCGTGAATGCAAATCAGCCTCTATCTAATGCATCATTTCGGTATGTCGTCATCAGTCATTATGAGCCTGCGTTGTGACGCTGCGAAATATGCGGTACTTTATCGAAATCGAAATTGGAGTTATTCCTTGTGTTGATTATTCTATTGGATGTTCAGCTCTTAGGTAGGTGAGTCAAAGCGAATTGCGGCCACAAGCTGCGCTTGCATGGACCAGCTTGACTGTAGACCTCGTCTATTCTGCACTTATCAGATCAGAATACCATGTTATCCTTATTTTTCGCACGTCACCGACTTCTACCTGTTTCTCGGCTGGTGGCGCCTAAGCAACTAGGGTTAATTCCAACTAGAGCAGCTGTTGTTAATTTCTTGAATTTCCATGTAAGACAAAGATTGTCACTTGAACGGATTCGAACCCGGTTACTCTGAAGCTTGAAGCCGATATGTAAGGCGCTGTGTCGTCACGCCGCATGAATTAAAGGGTTGCACCAGCATGGTGCCTCCAGTAGTAATTGTTTTCACGTTTTTCGCATTACAAGAGTTGTTTTGTATTGCGCATGTTTGTGTCGTCCATTTTCTGATAGTTTGTCTTGTTCTTCCTCTACATTAGTGAATGGGAGGACGAAATAAATATCTGGTGCATCAGATATGACTGGGGACATTTCTTCCTACGATATGGTGCGAGTCTATTTCTTGCACAAGGTTGGAATGCTCTCGTGATTTGTGAACGTTGAACGAATAGTAAATGTCTAAAAATCAGTCGAATTACCGTTTCTCAGAAAGAGAATCTACCTGTTCTAATTTCCTGAAGAATCGGTAGATCATCTATAAAAATGGCTCTATAAAGTGTGTGGTTAAGTTGCTAGTAAAATCCTAGAAACCTTATAAGGTAGGTTATCATTTTGGTCCACCAGTGCCAGAGAAATAGAATGTATGAGAATTGCAAAGAGAAAAATGAATGATTCGTTTTCTCCTGCTTATGAAGCGAATTCAAACTGAAGTCACGCCATCAGAAACTGTGAGGTTGCTTTCAAGGATGAAAATTTGTTTTGATCAATTTCTCAGTTAGTTATAAAAGAAAACAGAGACAGCAGACGGTAAATTATTGAGTTGCAGGATCGATGTACAGGCAATTTAATCTTAATCTTAACAATTGCAATCTTAACGCCGAGGGTAAACCCATAATGACAGTACTTTTTCTCACGTTTTCTTACGGATCGAGATATATTCTTTAATAGTCGAACAGATCTTGCTGGACTCAACAAAGTGATTTGGTTTTTCGTGTTTGTGCTTCAGGAGCTAAAATACCGTAGAGTCATTAACTCGTTTAAACAGTCCCTTAGGCTAATTGAATCAACGGGACGGTGCGATTACACCTATGAATTTATTACTATTACCAGGTTACATGCTGGCTTCCTGGTCTGGCTGGTTTCAGACGCTAGTCAGTGAGAATCTCGCGGGGTCAAATGATGAGCTTATTCGCAGCCAGTTTAGTGCAATGGCATTTTTCTGTTGTCGACATCTACTGAATAAGCCTGTTCTTTGAAGAAGGTAGTTTCATTTCATTCGTAGTTCTTTCGTTCAATATGCATAATAGCTTTACAGCCGTCGTTCTTTGTGGGGTTCATTATAACAGCTGTTTTGGTATTTTGTAGTAATACTATCCCGATCAGGGCAAGGTGAAAACGGACTTTTCTGTTAAGATATATTACATTGCCTACCCTAATATTGCGAAAGTTAATAAACGTCATCGCTGAAGATGATGAAATCAAGGTCAGAACCAGAATACCAACAAGAACCAAGGTAAATGTCAGAGTTAGCTTAATTGCCTAGTAATTTTTCCCTTCTTTTTATAACTTTTTCTGTGAGCACTGTGACTCCCATTTCTCACTGTTTTATGCTAGATTTGTTTCCAGCACCGAGTTATACGGTATGTGAACCAGACGAAGATTTGCTAGATGGCTGGTGCTACGTTTCATCAGTGCCAGATTCTACGGGCCCTTCAGATCTTTCCGCTTATTCAGTCTTTGATAACAGTGAGTATTGAAGTTCTAAAGTTTCTTTCTTCGCTTACGTTGTTTTGAAGGTGCCGTCGAAGTTGCGCCATTGGTTTTGCGATCGTATCAAGAGGAACTAGCAGAACCTGCGTTGAACGGTCAAAACGTGATCATTTGCGCACCTACGGGCAGCGGTAAAACCTATATTGCCGTTAAAATAGTCAAAGATCATATTCAGAAGAGGAAGCAGTCTGGCAAGCCGTTTAAGTTATGTTTCAAGCAGAATTTGAACTAGAAGGTTCTAGTGCACTTGTGTCTGCGCAAGCACTTTTGTTAAATTCATTTCAGTAAATTACTCATGTGACTCTGCAGTCAAACAAATGGCAAAAGCGTACATCTGGTTGCAAAAGTACATAAGATCAAAATCTGTTCTCTACGGAGGGACTGTTTGCGCATCTCAGGCCAGTCCTGTAGAAAGAAATAGTGACGATCTTCGTCTGTGCGACATCTGACGATCACTGACAGAGGCGAGCGAAGAAACGCGTCTCCGGCATTAATTCGGCGTAAACCGTTTCTGGTGGACATTATTTCGCATCTGCATCCACTGAATTTTTTATACTGAAAATGCGTCAAATTTCAAACAATGATTGTTCCGAGCTTGACTGCTTATTCGGTAATGACTATAGTGACCTGACTTATTGCCTGTTTCTAGTCATATTATGTACGAGCCAAAAATCTGCACAGCCTTCGAATATGAGAGTAATACCTTCCGTTCCCGCTTGCAAAATATGTTGGAGCGAAACAAGTTTATGGTCATTTTGAGTAACCTGAGCTTTTTGGCCTATTCAGAAATGACACTCCTGCTAAACCATAACCATAAGTCCGCGATTTGTGAGTCACACACAAGATAATTTTCGATAACGATACCCATATATTTCACTTTCGTGATAAGAGAGGCGTTGAAGGGAGTAGTCTGGAAATTTTGAGATGAAATGAGAACAGGTGCCTTTCGTCTTGAGGTACGAAGACAGCGAGTAACTGTTTTATATAGTCGGCTTCTAATGAGAAACCAACCTTTCCGCGCACTGAAATACTTATTTGACTAAATTTTGTACATCGTTTAAGTCGTAGAATTGGCGCGAGCCGTCTGTCAGCTGCTAGCGCCGCAAGCAATTCAGTTTTTACTTTTATATACTGCGGAATCCAAGCACTACATGCCGCAATGTTGCTGTTGTTCCTTTTTCTGTATTTAAGATTGACTGTTTCGGTCGATTTTAGGTTGTGTTCCTAGTTCCCACCACTAGTCTTGTCGACCAGCAGTCGACTGTACTGCAGAAGTTCATCACTGAGGGTAAGCTAATTGCAGTCAAGGGTGGTACGAGCACGCCGAAGGCGACAGTAATCATGAGCTACGACGTGGTGGTTATGACCCCGCAGCTGTTGTTAAATGTCCTGTACGATTCTGACGATGATCCGAGCCATGTGGTAATCGGCGATTTTTCATTGCTGATTTTCGACGAGTGCCACCATGTCACCAAAGAACATCCGTATGTGAAGATCCTGCGGATGCTGCTTACAAGAAAATTCCAAGACGTTTCTACGAATTCCTCCACCCAGGTGCGCCATGTAAACCCGTTTTTACCGAGTTTAAAAACACCTTTCCTTTACCTTGCTCTTGACGTTTTTTCTTTCAGGTCGTTGGTCTCACGGCTTCGCTTGGTGTAGGCAAGTCAGATAACATAGTGTCGGCTCAAGAACATATTCTCCAAATTTGTGCCTGGATGGACTGTTCTGTTATATCAGTGGTGAAACGAAACAAAAAAGATCTGGAAGCGCAGGTCAATCTCCCTACTGACGGTATGATCATATCATCTTTGCTGTATGAACTCTCAAAATCAGTCTGTCCCATAAATAACTCCTCCGTGGTCAGATTTCTTTGTCTGCTTTAATCTTGAAGAAATCATTCATTATTCGACATATTGAGGTATACAAACAGCTTATGGTATTTTTGCGGTATTATCAAAGGAATACCAGCTCCTGAATCATCGTTCGTCATTACCGCGAGATGGCTCTAGCCAACTACATTATGTGAGATGCATGTGGCCTGCGTAAATGGCGCTCTAGGCAACTAAAAGCAAGGGGGCGGTGCAATACGCAGTTGAGGCATTCGTTATATAAAATCAACCCATATTTTTAACTGCATAACTTTATTTACTTTCGACAATTTTTTTATTCTTATTTAATTTTGCCTAGTAGTTTTATAGCAGTGAGATTTTTAAATTATGCTGCTCGAAAGGCATCACCTAATAGTGCCATCTTCCGGGTTAAAATAGTAACGATATTGCAAAAGGAAGCGAAATCATTTGTTAATTTGGCATGTGGCAAGTGAAATCGTTTGGCAGCGACAGCATTTAGCAAGTCTGCTGCTTGCGATATCTGATCGTTTACTGGAGAGAATTCAAGCTTGATACATAAGTTTGTGAGACCGGTGTATCGTCGTAAAGTTAAGTTTATCAGGATAACAATGCTTGTTGCTTGCGTGGCGCGATGGTAAAATGCATGAGAAGATTAAATTCTTAAGG